AGGCTCCGGGTGCGGCTCCGCTGCCGGCCAACAGGCGGCGCAGGGGCGGGACGCAAGCCACCTGTAGGGCCCGGCCCAGCGTGGAAGTCCGCCCGCAAAGCTCTCCCACTTTCCCGGGGCCGTTCTGCCGCTCCATCCGCGCGTCTCCCCGGGGCTCCCCGCAAGCGAGGCCCCTCCCCAGCCTTCCAGGCCCCTCAGCACCAGGTCCGCTCACCTCCTCGTGCAGTTTCTTGAGGAACTCGATCTCATCCATCAGGGACTCAATCTTGCGCTCTAGTTCCAGACGGGACAGGGTGGCGTCGTCCACGTCCTTCGCAGAAGGGCAGTGGGGTTCGAGAGAGGGAAGGCAGTCAGGACGAGGTCTTCCGGGCCCTCCTCTGCCTCGGGGTGCGCCCGCCCATGCACACGACGGACGCGCGAGGCGGAAGTCCGCGTGGGCCCTCTCACCTTGCGGAAGAGCACGAGGCTGTGCTCTGCATCCTCCCGCTTGCGCGTTTCCTCCTCCAGCCTGATGGGCAGAGGGGACAGGGACGAAGCTGCGGGCCACCACCCAGGGCCCCCGCTCCGGACCCGCTCCTGCTGCCGCCCGGGGCCCTGCGGCCAGGGTTCAGGCTGCCTGGCAAATCACCCGGCCCCCGTTTGTGGTGCTGGGGACCGCTCCCGGGCCTTGTACACGGAAGGCAAGCGCTCCACCACTGGGCCGCACCCCCAGCCCCTCGCCCTTTTTAACGGGGTGGAACCTGCGAAGCGGGTTCCCTTGAAGCCCAGGGGAGGCGAAAGACGCCCTCCGCCTCTCCGCGGACGGTGCTGGGCGGAGGCTTGGCGCCCACGGCCAAGGATGCCGCCGGCAACAGCTCGCGTTGGCCGGGGAGCCACGCCCTTGGGCTCTAGGGAGAGGAAGGCGCAGCGCGGCCTGGACGTGGCGGTCGGGTTGCCGCGCCCAGCCCCAGCCCTGACCTCTGCTTGAGCGCCAGCAGGTCCTCGGCCAGCCCGTCGCGCTCCACCTGCACCCGGTCGCGCTCCCGGCCCAGCAGCTCCAGCTCGCGCCGCAGCTCTCGCAGCTCCTGCTGGCACAGCTGGTCCGCGCGCGCCGGCTCCTGGCCCCGGGCCTGGCTCAGCTCGCCGCGCAGGGCCGCGTTCTGCTGCTCCAGGAAGCGCACCTTCTCGATGAAGTTGGCGAAGCGGTCGTTGAGCTCCTGTAGCTCTTGCTTCTCGTTGCTGCGCGTGGCCAGGAACTCCTGGTTGAGCGCCTCCGCCATGGAGAAGTCGAGGCGCTCGGAAGGCAGGCGCAGGGCCCCCGCCCGAGGGGCGCGAAAGCTGCCCAGGCGCACGGAGGAGCTCGGGGACGCCGAGCCCAGCAGGCGGCTGCTGGAGAAGCGTGAGCTGGACGAGTAGGAGAAAGCCCCGGGGGACAGCGAGGGCGGTGGCCCGAAGGTGCGGCGGTACGAGGTGGCGCTCACGCTGGCCCGGAGGCCCGACGGGTGGTGGCTCATGTCGGCAGAGCTCCGCAGTCCGCGCTGGAAGGGCTGGGCCGAGGCGCGAAGGAGCCGCAGACGCTGCGGGGCAGCTTTATAGCCCCACGGGCTCAGCGGGGGACGGGGCAGCTCCTCCCCCTGGCCTGAGGCCGGCCGGAGGGGGACTGGTGGGGAGGGGGACGCCCCACCCTGCGCAGCGCGGCGGCGCCGCACCCTCCCCTCCCCAGGCTGCTGGCGCCGGCCCCGAGGTTCCCCCTGTTGCTGGCGGGGATGGAATCGTGAAGCGACCACAGACCGGGGTGGCAGGCAGCGCCTTCCAGCAAGCCGCCAAAGCTGGAGCCCAGGGGACGGGAGGATTTGACTGCAGCTGGGGTCCCTGCCTGGAAGAGCTGGTAGAGACAGGGGAAGAAGAGGGCTCGAGGTTAAAGGGCGAGCTTCTAGCCGGGACTCAGACCGGGACCTGGCAGCCCTGGCGGAGGAGCGGAGCGCTGGCCTGACCGCGGCCCCCGAACTTGTGCCTCCACTTGTCTCATGAAGCCGAGGCTGTCACCTGCTGTCAGCTACGCCCTCCTTCACCACACACCAAGAGAGGTGGGGGACCAGAGAGTAGGGGCAGAGGGGGCTGGTGAAGGGCTGGTTGCTTCCTGATCCCCAGGGCCCTCTGAAGGGCTGATGATTGGCGCCAGCCAGCTCTGCCGCTGCTAATGGACTGACCAGCTCCCCTCCCCCTGCCCCTGCCTGGCAGAGGCTGCTGCTGCTCCGCCGGCCTTAAAGGCACAGCCCCCAGACCTCCACCTTCCCCAGGCCCCAACCAGGTGGGTAGCCCGCAGGAGGCTGAAGGTGGCTGGCTGTGCATCCCCTGGGAGGGTCTGTGCCATGCCAGAGGCTGAGTGGCCTGTGGATGCTGCCTGCCTTTACTGGAGTCTTCCGCTGCCCCTCCCCACCAGCTGCTGCTCAGTCACGGCCCTTCCCGGAATGAGGATGATTTTTCGGGTGGGAAGGGGAAGGAGAGGAGGGGCGGCAGCTGCTGCCAAGGCTGAGCAGTGGACAGACTGGCAGGAACCGGTTTCCGGTAGTGAGGAGGTGCAGGTACCCAGGGTGAGTGGGCTGGAGAGGGGAAGCAGAGAAGAAACTGAAGATGCCCACCCCGCTGTGTGAAGGAGGAGAGCGAAGCTCTGGACAGGCCCAGGCACAGGGCATAGGCATAGCCATTCCTTGTGTGCATGCGCACTTCCCCACAGCCTCTCAGGCCCCCACCCCACCCTCAGTTAGCAGGAAGGCTGATGTCTGGCCTTTGCATGGGACCCAGCTTCCAGAGCGCAGGCACAGGCTGCCCAGGGTGGGCAGAACTTGTTCTGATGGTCCGCAGCAATCAGGGTGCTGAGGCCTGTTGGGTTTGCCAGGAGCCCTGATGCTGCCATTGCCAGGGACTTCGGGGCTCTTCAGCCAGAAAGTGCGCTTTAGCTTGGCCCTGAGGGCGAGCTGCGTATCTGGGGAAGCAGGTTTGGGGCTCCAGACTGGATCTGTGGCTGGGGTGAGGAGGGCGGCTCCCTGGTAGGCCTGCCCCTCCTTCCTCCCTTTGTGCGTCCTCTGAGATGGGCCAGAGCCAGCACGGCTGCATCTTCCTCCGCTCTCCAGGCCCCTCCTTCCTTCCGGGCTATTGGTCTGTCGGTGCACAGCTGCCAGGTCTTTCTCCTGGCTGGGCCTGGCTTGGTTGCCAGGGGAGTGAGGAGGATGGGATGGATGAACCAAGGCCTGGGGAGTGGGGAGGGGTAGAGTCCAGGTGGGCTGGGGGCAAGAGGATTGGCAGGTTCAAGGAGGAGGAGGCCAGGAGGCTGGGGAAGCCTTGGTGCTCTCTGCCACAGCCTGGGCTCTGAGCCCCAGCTGCCATTGGTCTGGAGTCCCATCTACCCCGGACTCCACCCGACCCTCCAGAGCAACCAGGAGCCAGTGCTGAGCCTCTGCACCAGAGGGGAGGTCAGACTACGCCTGGGGAAGACAAGATCCAGCCTGTCTCTGCAGGGAGCTGAGAGAAGACCTTTGGGAGCAGAGGTGGCTGGGACTGGGGCCTCCAGATAGGGTCCTCCATTGCTTCAGCCACCAGCTCACTCCCCAGACCCTCAGAGGAGAGGGGCCCAAGGAGCCCTCAGTGTGGAGTGCACAAGGTGGGCGCCTGGATGGGGAGATGCCAGGCAGAGGAAGGCTTCTACCACTCAGGAGAGGAGTCAGGCCCTGGAGACCTTGGGGAAGGAAAAGAGGCTTAGGCTCGGGTCCCATCCAGCTGCCTTGCTTCCAGTACACAAGGCAGGACGAGGCCATTCTCTGTGTTAGGAATTTAGGCTTCAGTTAAATGGTGATGATTGTGGCTTCTACCTCATGATGGTGTTGGGAGGATTAAGTGAAAAATACGTGGGTTTTTTTGTTTGTTTTTGAGACAGGGTCTCGCTATGTAGTTCAGGCTGGCCTGGAAATTACTATGTAGTGAGTTCACTTGAACTCACAGCAAACCTCCTGCCTCAGCCTCCTGAGTTCTGGGATTATAGGTGTGCACCACCACACTCAGGTGAAAAATATGTGTATATACTTAGGACAAACATTGTAAATGCTGAAAAAATGTAGGTTTATTTTATTATTTATTTTGTGTATGTGTGTGTGGTACTGGGGATTGGCTTGAGAGTGTGATCCTCCTGCTTCAGCCTCCCAGAGCACTGTGATTACAGGTATGTCACTATAGCCATCTTACTTTTATTAGTATATTAATCTTCTAAATGATGTTGCCAGCTCTCAAGTGAAGTGAGGAGCTGGGCTTCTTTTGGGTTGTCCCCCTTGTGGCTGAGAGCAGCCATGAGGTAGAAGGAGCCAAGTACTGCCTGGCCCATGGCTGGAGGGAAGGCAGCCTCGTCCTGCCTTGTGTACTGGGACTCTGGACATAGCTACTCAACTTAATGAGCTGGAGGGATGGGGCTTTTCAGTGGTTCACCTCTGTTCACCCTATTTTCTTTACCCATAATGGGTCTGATAATAATAGTGCCCACTTCAGAACACTGGAGGATTGGTTACGATGCAGAGCACTTAGGACTTGGCCCGTCATGCATGCTGTGTATTAGCCAGAGTGATTATGACCCCTCCTTCCTCTGCCTCTCTCAGCTGCTCTGCTGAAGGCCTAGAGAGAAACAGTGGGTTCTTGCAGGAGCTTACAGCAAAGGAAGCAGCAAATTTAGGTTACTGGTGAGAGTATTGCTTAACAGTAGGCCTTGGACCCACCATTAACCATGTCTAACCAGCTGGCTAGAGAGGTGTAGGCAAGAGCGGAGGAGACTGGGTGAGCACACAGGTTGACAGCTGGTCTCCCTGGCAAGGTCAAAGAACAGTCATAGTGCAAGGAAGGATTCCACCGAGAGGGCAGGGAACAGTTTTTACACAATTGAATGGGTGGATTTGTGATTTTGGAGCTAGAGTATTTATGGATGTGAAGTTCTCAGGGTATCCTACAGGGGCGGGCAGTTGAGCCTATGCTAGAGTAGAGCAGAAGGTCATGGGAGAAGAGACCTGGCCACCAGTCTGGGCACTGACCAGCTGTGTGACCCTAACTGAGCTACTTGTCCTTGCTGAGCTTCTGCCTTTTCATTGTTAGCACGGGGATAACGACCCTCTTCTACTGTGTGAGGCTCACGTAGCTGCTCAACTATATTGATCGTCTTTCCTACTTCTGTATCACCATGAGGAAGCAGGCACAGAGGAACAGGGACATTTCCCTAAGTGCTGATAACCCAGTGTCAGCTGGGCCCTGGCTGAGGCCCAGGATGGGTGCACATCTCCACTCCACATCCTGGGGACAGCACAGTCTCCTTCCCAGGGTTCTTTTGCCAACCAGACTCAGACCAGTGGAGGACACCTGTGGTCCCAGCTACTTGGGAGGCTGAGGCAGGAGGATCACCTGAGTCCAGGAGTTTGAAACCAACCTGGGCAGCATACTAGGACACCATTTTAAAAAAAAAAAAAATTCCTTTGCCTGCTTTGCTTGAATTGGCTCACTTGAGTTTGACTCTACATGTCACAGATAAGGAACTCACTGCTGTCCCTTGGTTTCCTGGTTGTTAACCCCCTGAAGACCTAAGGCTCAGCAGGACAGGGAGTCTTCTCTAGGAGGCCAGGCCTGGGGTGGCCCTGCCGGTGGGCTGGGCTCTCGCCCTGTGGGACCCAAGGGGAGGCTCAGGCAGAGGGATCTGGCTTCCCAGTCTTCAAGATGCATGCTCCAGCCCAGTATGGCCACCAGGTCCTCACTCTCAGAATGAAGTCCTCAGAATGAAGTCCTTTCTTCATTGCCTCCAGTCTGGGGCTTTGCTCCTCTCACTCAGGAGCACCCAGGCCATCTTTGCATCTTATTCCTTCCCTCAATGCAGCTCTTAGCAATAGCTGACACATCCCACATGCCAAGTGCCAGGCTGAACATTTAACACATTTACACACTTAATTCCAACCTTCACAAACATCCTACCACATAGTTTTCTATGCTAGTCCCATTTTACAGAATAAAATGGGAAGAAACTGAGTCACAAAGAGTTAAGTAACTTGCCCTATGTCACAAAACTAGTAAACTAGTAATCTGTTTATGTCTGCCCCCCCAGTCCTGACACTATGATCAGTGAAGGCAGAAATCAGATCATACTTGTCTTTATGTGATTGGTATCTTTTTTTTGGTCTTTTTGAGACAGACTCTCACTATGCAGTTCAGGCTGGATTTGAGCTCACTTTGTAGCCCAGGCTGGCCTTAAACTTGCAATGATCCTCCTGCCTCAGCCTCCCCAGTGCTGGGATTATGGGCGTGCGCTACACACCCGGCTTGTGGTTGGTATCTAACTCCAGTCTTAGGTCAGCTATTTTCAAGGCACCTGAATCTCTTTCCGTTGTTGGTCTGTAAAATAGAGATCTGTTGCTGCCATCTTCTGGTCAGAAACTAGAATGACATGTCTGCAGTCTGCATCTGCTCTAGGTGAGTGTAAAATTAGGCAGCAGGAGTGCTGGAATGTGGGGGACAGTGCTCAATTACTTATTGTGGTCTCTTTTTTTGAGACAGGGTCTTGCTCTTGTAGTTCAGGTTGGTCTTGAACTCACTGTGTAGCCCAGACTGCCTTCAAACTTGTGGTGATCCCCCTGCCTCGGCCCCCAAGTGCTGGAATCACACTGTACTCGGCTTATCATGATCTCCTTTTTACACATGAGAATCTGAGAAGTTACACTTCAGAGACACCCTGAAATTAGAAGTTCCAAGCCCTAATTGCATTCTTCCCTGGGTGCTAAGAGCCTCCTCTGCCCCTCTCCCAAGCAAAATCTGTCTTCAACTCTGCCTCCAGTCTTCTCGGCCCACAGCTCCCAGTTCTGTCCTCACACACAGCCACCTCTCTACTGCCTGCCGGACCTTTCCAGAGAGCGCCATCCCAACTGGAAACAGGAGAGGATGTGCCCAGCAAGTCACACTGCCCAGCAGAATGCCAAGGGCCACAGCTGCAGTGTGGCCTGGAGATCTCCCTCAGATTCACCAGATCCCGTCGCTCCACTCAGATCTTTGGAACCTCTAGAATCTGCATTTTAACAAACTCCCTGAGTGCTTCATAATGCCCATGAAAAACTGAATATTCTTGGATAATTTTTTGCTTTAAATTGTCCATCTTGGCCAGGAATGTAGCTCAGTGGCATAAGTGCTTGCTTGGCAAGCCTGAGGTCATGAGTTCAATTCCCAGTACAAAAAAAAAAAATTGTCCATCTTAAAAAAACTAAGGCAAAGTAAACTACCTTTTATACCAATTTATTTTGAAAAAGTTCAAACCCAGAGAAAAGTTGAAAGAAATGCCAACATGAACACCAATATCCCTTCTCTCAGACTTACCAAGCATCACTATTTTGTCCCAGTTCCTTTTTTTTTTTGAGAAGTGGTCTCGTTATGCAGTTCAGGCTGACCTTGAGCTCACTTTGTAGCCCAGGCTGGTCTCGAACTCTCAGCAATCCTCTTGGCTCAGCCTCATGAGTGCTGGGATTACAGGCGTGTGCCACCACGCCTGGCTGTCCCAGTTCCTTTGAAAGTGTCAGACAGCATGGGATTTTTCCCCTTAAATACTTCAGTGCATGTCTCCTAAAAGTCATGGCATTCTCTTATATAATTTCATTACTACTGGCCCATTTAAGATCAATATAATAACATTGCTTCATCCGCAGTCCATATTCAAAGCCCAGTTGTTCCAGTAACGTTTTTCACAGCTATTTCTCCCATTGTGAGCTGTATCTGGCCGTCACCTGGGCAGAGGGAGGAGCCAGGGAAGAAGGATGAAGCTGTGATGAGCTTGGCATGGTCAGGGTTAGGGAAACATTGGTGAGGGCGGAAAAGCTGTCGGAGGAAAGCAGAACAGAAAGCTTAGAGTTTGTAGGGCTTCTGAAATCAGTAGAATACCCCCCCCACCTCCAAGATGTACAGTTTTATTATGTTGCTGTGACTGGGCTCAAATCCTGGCTCAAGT